ACTACCCAGCAGACGGCGCTCTCCACGGCGACCAGCCCGCGCCGTACACTCCTGCCGGCGGTCTCGGCACCAATGGCTCCGCGCCTGTATACCGCGTCCAAAGCGACTTCGACTACCAATCTCTCGCTCTGGCTCTGTACCAGGAGTACATCGAGCTCGACCTCTTCCACTGGGGCTTGGCCACGTACCCCGTCGAAGACTTTGAGGAGCTCGGCCTGAACGCCGAAGACCGGTACCTGCTGCAGTTCATGGCCGAGCAGGAGATCGGCCACGCCACCGTCATCACGAACATGCTCGGCGCCGAGGCGCCGCAGCAGTGCACGTACAACTACCCCGTCTCGAACCTCCGCGAGTACATCGACTTCAACCAGAAGCTCACGCGCTGGGGCGAGGCCGGCGTCTACGGCTTCCTGCCGCACCTGAACTCGGGCCCTGCCGCGCAGCTGTTGTTGCAGAGCATCACGACCGAGGCGCGCCAGCAGATGATCTTCCGGCAGTTCGAGGGCTTGTTCCCGATGCCCGAGTGGCACACCGTCGGCATCCCGCAGAGCTGGGCGTGGACGCTGCTGGCGCCGTACATCTCCAGCTGCCCGTGGAACCAGACGCGGTTGATCTGGCAGAACTTTCCCGCGCTGCACGTGCTCAACCAGCCCAACCCGTACCGCATCGACGGGTCGAGTGCCTGGAACGAGACGACCGGCGGGTGGGCTAACACGGCGGCGACGGGGAACATCACCGACGCCGAGTCTTGTGTGAACGCCACGGATCCCGGGGAGGACTGCAACCCGGCTATCTCGCAGAACCGGACCATGCCGCTTTCGTATGCTGGCCGGCAGGTGTTTTTGCAGTGGGATGCTCCGGGTCAGCCGGTCGGCCCTAATAACAGCTACATCACCTCGACGAACGTGAAGGAACCCAAGTTCGCCGCGTGGGTTTCCCAGTTGAACGTTACGTACTCTGCCCTGCAGAACGTCAGTCTGGAGGACCGCACTGCGTACACTATCCAGCCGAACGTGTCGACTTGGGAGTTTGACCCGGCGATCAACTCAACCATGTTCTTGGCGCTGACTGATACCGACTTGTATGTCACGCCTTACAACCTGACCATGATCAACCCACATGTTGCCGCCCTGGCTGTGTACCAGGCTGGTTAAGAACCGATGGATAAGTTACTGGGAAGTCAAGCCGAGAGCAAGCCCAGACGAGTAAATAATGATCTCTTTCGGCGCTGAAGGCGAGATTTTGTTTGTTCTGTACTGAGACACTTAGCAATCAATCTCAATAATCTCATGATGTAATCACAAATGACCATAACGTGACCGTCAACACAGTCGCAGGCGCTGTACATAGTCAGGCGAACCATCGCGTAAATTGATTGGCATTATTGCTTGCCTAGAATCATAACAACTTCGTTGCACGTCAAATATTTCTCATGTCAACCCGTATTCGCCGGTCCATGCTATGATGCAGACCCGTGTGTCTTTTGGGAAAGGCAGTAAGCCGAAAGCGGGCCTTTCCTTTTTTTCTAGCCAACGCACGAACGCCCTATATGGATGCTCCCGTTTAGAGCTCGTTGTGCTCCTGGCCGTCAGCGTCGGAGTCGGCGACAATAGTCTTGACAACATCGGCAGCTTCGGCAACCTTGCTGGCGACCTTTTGAGCAACGCCCTCCTTGGCTGCCTCGGCGGCCTCGCTGGCCTTCTCGGTGGCCTTGATGACGATCTTCTCAGGCTTGGGGACGCCGTCGATGCCAATGAGCTCGGTTTCGAAGACTGCGGAGGATAATGGTTAGCCGGAATCGTTCAATGATTTGATTGTCGGTTGTACATACCAAGGGTTGAGCCAGCGGGGATAGGGCCCATGCCGCGGTTGCCATAGCCCAGCTCAGGGGGGATGGTCAAGGTTCTGTAAGGCGTCAGGATCGGTTGGTCTCGAACGTTTGGTTGTCGCCCATCTTACCTCTTCTCGCCAATGCACATGTCGAGAAGACCCTGGTCCCAGCTGCAACGTTGTCAGTCATGTTTCTTCGGCCTTTGCTTGTCGGCCGAGTGATTGGACTAACCCCTTAATGACCTGACCGCTACCAAGCTTGAAGCTGAAGGGGGTTCCGCGGTCGTAGCCTTGAAAAAAGAGACGTCAGTATCATTCATGCATCTGGCAATTGGCGCAGCATCTTACTGGCATCGAACTTCTGTCCGTTGGACTGGAGAGTGCCGCGGTAGTGCATGTTGACCTTGTCGCCATTCTTGGTCTTGCGCTCGCACTCGACGGCCTGGGTAACGTCGATCTGGAGCTCGGCGGCGGCGACGCTGACGGCGCTAGAGGCCAGGAGGCCGAGAGAGAGGAGAAGACCCTGCATTATAGCTGAATTGGGACGGTGAGGCGGTAGACTGTAGTGAAGAAGGTCGAGATGTTGTGATTGAGCGGTCAATTGGTCGAATTAGAGACGAACAGCTGGCGAGCAACAAGGAAGACAGCTGCAACGAGGGGCCACCGCCGGGCAGCTGTGGTGGGTTGAAGCCACGCCGCCTCTCCATCATTGCTATTTTCCGATTGGCTCATTCACAGGGATAATCCGGAGACACGGACCCGTTTTCGTTATCGATAAAGGGCACCTGCATGTGACGAGGGTGGCTTATCGCCAGGGACCTGCCCCAGCTGAGCTCCAGCTGACAGCTCTGGACTCTGCGTGACGTCAAGCACCAGCAAGCAACCCTCCCATCCACCATTCCTGTTCACGAGGATTATTGGTGATAGTTGTGGGGGTCTGTCAACCGCACATGAGGCTATCGACCGCCTTGGACTCGCGATCGGCTTTCTTCCGAGTCATTTGACTCAACCCCAGTTCGCCCAGGAATCCATGAGCCGCAGCATGTCCTGCCTCGTGTGTCTGGACCGGTCGTCGCTTTGGTTCCCGGTTTCTACACTTTGGTGTTTTCTTTTTCCAAGCCACAGCTTGTGATCTCGACGTGGCTGCGATGGAGTCATCGGTGTCTGGGCTGTGCAGCGTGCCCAAATGTCATTTCGGCCGAGGCGGAACAACACGAGCTGTTGAGACAGACAGGGACCACGCAGTCGCGTCTCATTAGCTCGACGTCGACGCCAATCACAACCCCAAGGACAGTCATCGCGACCATCACGGCCTGCGGTTGAGGTGCTGTTGAGGTGTTACCCACCTCCGGCGAGTCGGCGCTGTCGCGTGCCTGTCAGACATGCCCGAGCACCAGTCGATTGCCAGCTTCACGGAGACTACTGCAGCAAGAGAGACGAATCAGCCGACCGACCTCTCTTCGTAGAGGGTCGACGCAAAAGGGTTCCTTGCCTATCCGTCCGGCATGTCGATATGATAATAACAAACGATAGAACGGCGACGTGGGTGACTTAGAGAAGGCTTACGGACATGCGCACTTTAGCACACCCGTGCTTTACGCTTTTGGGGGTTTGCCGTTTCGAGTGTCATCGGCATTAGCTCAGTCGTCTCTTCTGCCAGAGCCCGTCTGCCCGTCTGTCGATGACCTCCAGTCGCAGATCAAACCATGCAGCCCGCCCTACTTGCCCATCTCCGCCTGCACGCCAGAGGCATGAACCACTCCACACGGCGAAAAGAGCACTCGCAGCATACTGCTATCCGCGATCCGTTGCCCATTTCGTGCATTCACTGCATAACACGCTGCAGACAACCTGCGCTACTGGAGCGATCGCTGCCACATGCATACTCACCCGCTGGAGACCCGATCGAAAGGGCTGGATGGCGGCCGGTTGGGTCGCTGTCGCAGCCCGCATGACAGGGTTTCCCCCCAGCAATCTTCATAACATCAGGCACGATCCGAACTCTCTGACCCGTTGGAGAGCCCGACTGGGCCGCTTCGAGAAAAAAAACACAGACATTTTTGCTTGTCTCCTGCGGGCGGTCCCGTTTGAGTGGAAACTCTGAGATGAGAGGGCAGAAAAGCAAGATTGCAATGACGACCGAGGAACATCGACCATCAGGCCATGAGTTGGGAGGTTGGGCAGCGATGGCGTCGCTTCGCCGGGGTCTAAGCCAGCATACATCGACGGCAGAAGAAAGAAGAAAAATTTTCAACTTTGTGGAATGCCAGATTCGGCCTCTCACACTCCAAAGAAGACGTTCTTCGGATTTCGAAGACAATGGACACGTACAACCCACGTCGGACCATTCGGGGCCTTTCCTCGAAGCTTTTGCTGCACGGCGCTTGGAGCAGCCAACCATGCCCATGCTCCCTCCAGCCCAGGCTATCTAATTATGCCGCAGCCTGATCTAGTCCAGACATTGACAGACTTCAGACAGACAATGAAGGCCTCCTGGGCTGTAAGCTTTTTCCATTTTCACTGCAAAACAGCCCCCAAAGCTGAACAAGACTGGGCGCCGAGCAGCCACAGGCTCAAGGCTGCATAAACGCGCGTTGCTGCTTCGTAATGAAAGCAGGCTGGCATGCACTCCGGGTTTCTGGTACGATTTGCACTTGCTTCCCGTTGCGCGCATGACGAAGCAAGATGAAAATATCAATCGCGCTTAATTTGGGGGGGCGTAAAATGCTAGTGTCATGAAGCAAAGGGTTCACCACGGACACAAAAGTACACACACCTGGAGGCGGCAGTAATAGGCCGAAACAGAGCGGCAGTCCGTCAATCATCGCCCTGGCGAATGCGCCCTGCAGTTGTCGTCAAGGCCAATCATTCCGTGTTGTTCGCCACCGGGGCACTGCTCTCGCGCAGCAGAAGCTCTGTCATTCGCCGGGACGTTGGTCCGGGTCGAAGTTGACAAAGTTACTGAGGCATCGGCAGGACTTTTCCAGCAAGAGTTTCCTTTCCATGCTGGCGGGTCCACCATGCAACACCACCCTTTCTGCTGCACCTGCAACATCAAACAACAACGCTCTTCCCTGCTTCCTTGGTGATCCAGGACGTTAACAAACAGAGACTAACCACCTTTGCCCTCATCCTGTGCCCAACGGTCCCTGCACCCAGTGGCCCGGGTTATGACAAAGCTGCCCAAGGACTTCCAGCAGCAAGGCGACACCCTTCTTTCTCATGGTCAGCCCCAGGTTCCAAGGTTCATGGTCCGAGGTCCAAGGGGGCTCCATGATGCTACCCGCCCCCACTGCCTGTCCACCTTCGCCCGTCCGTCGCCCAGCGCCAACGACCACCACATCCTGTCTCCTGGCCACTTTTCCACTTAGTGCTCAGCCGCGTACACGGCTGCAAGACTTTCCCCAGGGCTGCCTTTCTCCTGGCCTGGCATGGTCCGGATGCATGGCATGGTCCGGATGCATGGCATGGCCAGGCAAGCAACCCAGATGGGTCCCGTCTGCTGTGCCCACGACCGGCTTGACCCTGGCTCCGGCAAGTGCTGATGGCTATGCCCCCGTACCAGTGTACTTGATAGAGGCATCCCATCCCATCCCAGATCAAGCGTGTTTGCAAACAGTCCTCCTCCTCCAAGTATATATCTATCCTGCCCTCGACCTTTTCTCCTAGTCCTGCTCTTGTCTCTTATCAAGCAAGCAACCATACATCTGCCTACACAAAGCCATCCTCGTCAACCGAGTCTTCATCCTCTCTCATCTCTACCAAGTCACCGTTCTCGAGACCAACCTCGCCACCACACATTACAAACAAAACCTCACATTACACAAAATGTCTTCCAGACCAGTCATCATCCACCAGGCCGCTCCCTCCATCAGCAGTGCCTACACCGCATCCTCGGGTTCCTACCCGTCCTCCAACGGCTCTTACACCCCTCGCTCCCTCTCACCAGCCGACCCTGTCTACCACCGCGTTCACGGCGCCGAGAACCACATGTCCTCGAGCAAGGTCTCCTCCAAGAGAGTCACGGTAGTCAACCGCAACCAGTCGGGCTACGAGCACGGCGCCCCTTCACCAAACTACGGCGGCACCTTCCGTCGATCCTGAGCCATCGACATCGATACCATTCCACCTTTCATCATCATCAACTCTTCGTTTTGCATACATTGGCGTTAAGGGACTAGGGCATCAGGGGGCATCGGCGGCAGCGAGAACATCTGTACGGCATACTCGTATCATTTATGGGATATCGGAGAAATAGTTGGAGATTTTTCACGGGCAAGGATGATAATGCGAGATGCACGCGGAGGGACCCAAGACGACGGGGTCATAGGGCATGAGGGAGGCACAGAATTGATTACTTGCAGATTGTTGTACCATCATAGCATAGCAGTGTGTATATGTGCCTGTTTAGATTAGATTGGGGTTCGCGGGTGATGCATTAGCAGCCAACAGCGTCTTCTTCAACAACACCTGGTTTCAAACAAATCATTGTTTTTTCCCCCCATTGCTCAACCTCCTTCCCCTTTCGGTGTCCCATAATTATGTTTTGCAGTTACTATTTTGGAGAGTGAATGCCTGTCCGTCGTGGATGACTTGCTTCGTTCTTTTTCTCGTCCCGTCCTGTTTGACGTGCAGAATCCGGCTGCTGCAAAACATGCCCTCCGCCCCGTGGACCCTTGGGGTCTCAGTGGTCCCCTTCCTTGTTTTCCCTGACTGAGGCCCCGAGTAAATGCCCCGAGGAGCTGGGTATGTACGGGCGCTGCGACGCTGGGCGGTCGGGTGGCCGGTGATTCGCTACGGCGGTTGGCTGCCCTGCATTGCCGCAGTATGGTACTTTCATGCAAGGGCAGCTAGCAGCTATGAGTGCTGGAGTGGCTTCGAGAGAGGAGAGACACCACCAAGCCAGGCCTGGGCCCGCTGACCTGGCAGGCAGGGAACAACAGCTCCAAAGTACAGTATAATTTCTGATCAGAGCGACTGGCTCTGGAATTCGGAGCAAGGCGATGAGGTCATGCAAATCCGACAGGGGCTGGTTCACATGTAAACGACCCTCGAACGGGCGGGAGTGTTCCAAGAATAGACGGATGGGGATGGGTACGGGATGGGATGGGGACCCTGAAATGTCATCGCATCTTGATTGTGTGCATCATGGTCGCATTTACGATAGGGCTGATGGAGACGATGGCACGAGCATGTTTGTTCGTGATTGAGTGCAGTGATTATTGTTTTTTGTGATATTTTGGGAAACAAGTAGATCAGCTAGCTAAGGACACCCGTCTGCAAGGAAAAACACGTCCCGCATTGCCCGGTTCCAGCATCAATTCGACCTGTTTTTGGGTGTGATTTGGTTTGGATGTTTATTCATATCTCATCAAGGAAAACAAGGGACCCGTCCGCCTCCACATGTAAACTGCAAAGTGCGATTGATCCTACATCGTATTGCAAGTCATCCGCAGCGGCTCGTTGACGTCGCGTCGCAATCGCAAGAGTGCCGGGTTCACTTCCCCACAATCAATCCCGTCCGCCCCAATTCATGGGGGAGCATGATGAGGCTGTGACCGAGACGACTTTAAGCACCACCCTCACGCTTGGCGTACTCGTCCTCGATGGCCTCGGCGTACTTGTCTTCAGCGGTGCGCGGGTCCTCCTTGAGCACGCCCTCCTTAACAAGCTCCTGGGGGTCGGGACGGTGGGAGAGCTTGTCGTTGAGAGAGTCTGCGCGCATGTGCATCTCGAGCTCCTTCTGGTGGGCGATCAAAGACGGCGCCGCGTTAGATGCGGGAAGGATGTTCTCTGCGAGGCGGGTTTTGGTCAGTCACTCTGTGGTCACGATGCTCACGGGTTTGCTCGTTGAGGAAATCATGGGGTGATGTTCATGATGCGCCGGCGGGTGGATGCTCTGGGTTTAGTGGTTGGGATCGGCGGGTGAGGCGGGCAGACGGGTGGTGGGGTTTGGAGGGAAGAGTGGTTGCAGGGGTCCGGTGGTAGTTCGAAAAATGGGAAAACAGGGAAGTGAGGCCGTGAGGCAAAGGAGGCGAATTGTGAGGGATTGGGTGACGGGCGAGACTCACTCTCGACGAGTTCCGCCCGGTCGGGACGGTGTTGCAGGTGTGCCTCAAGGGAGTTCTTGCGGTCGCCGCGAGAGGGCGAGATGGGGGTCTCGTCGACGGCGGGTTGCTGCGTGTTGTTGGTGCTGTCGTCGGCCATGGTGGATTGGTGCTTTGCCGGGGTAGTTTGATGGTTCTTGGTTGTTTGGACCTTTGGTTCTGGGTTCGTATCTGCGGTCGAACGGGGCGAACTGTCTCTTGGTCGAGGGATGTCTCGCCTTGTTTTTCAGTGGTATTGAGATATGCAAAAGCTTCCTCCGCCTTGCTTTCGTGGACTGGACAAGCTGTATGATTCAGGATATCCGGTTGGTTGCAAGTGCAAGTTTGGTTCGCGATGGGTATGGGTTGTAGTGTCGATGTTGTTGATGTAGGCGGGAGGAAAGAGGGGCGGAATGGGAGGTGGTGGTGTTTTGTACTCGTTCGGATGTCAGCCACCTTCGCTTCAGTCTGGAAAGCAACAATCAAGCCAGCAAGTAGGTAAAGCAGGCAGGTTGGTATGGCAATGGGCGCTTGCTGGCTCAGGCACAAGGCACATGGGACGGAGAGCTTCGATAGGTAGAAGCCAGTCCAGCAGGTCGAGAATGTGGTCTGTCACTCGCTTCGCTGGGGGTCGGGAGACGCTTTCGCGCAGAGAAGGGAAGCTGTTTGGCCGCAGCTGCTGCATAAGACCTGGTTTTACCCCGCCCGTGACCCTTGAGCCTGGGGAAAGCGCACCCGTGCAGGCGTTGCTGCCCCTCCCCATTGCATCACCACACGGCAAGCAGTGCCTGCCTTCAGTGCCTGCCCTGCCCAGTCCCTGCCCGAAGCTGCACTTTGTGCCTGAGGATCCTTAGCTCCCATGATTGGGGGAAGCTGTCATGGCAAGCTCCCATTTGCTGAGCTTTCCCCATGGGATGTGTTTGCTTACCATTTGCATCTGATGTTGCAGCTCCATCACCTCGGAGACGTCGGCTGCTTTGATACCGTCTGGTAAATGCCTTTATCGATTTAAACGACCGTTGATGCCGCCGCATGGAAAGATCAGAAACATCCAATGCGAGTCGCGACAGCTGCCAAAGCTCTCGGCCCGCGCGCCCCCTGATGACTCTGACGACGGATGACGTCTGGCGCACGGGAGACCCCCAAAGCCACACACGCCTAAGGACCTAGCTCGCCCGCTCCAATCTCGTTCCTCCACCCGTCATGCCACCAAGCTCGCCTCAACCCAGCTGCAGGACCCTGGGAGAACGCGCAGCCTCGGTGATGAGATCACGAGGACCGAGTTGCCCCTTCACTTTGCGCTGCGCTACCATCCCCTGGCTGCCTCGTCTCATGACCGCACCAGTCCGATGCCGATGCCCGTCACGACCACCACCCCGGCCGCGATGGTTCCGCCTCTGCGAGTGTCATCATGTCAGCGAGCCTGGTCTCATTTCGCTAGCCAAGCTACTCACAACTTCGGCCCTTTTGCTTGCCAAATGGCCACGGCGTCCCAGACGCAGAGGATCGTCCCGGCGAGGATCACCGTTCCCATCTCCGGACCCTTGCCCTGCCGCGCGAGTGCGAACAGCGCTGCTGCGATTGCCAGGTCCCGTACTCCGAGGAGCGGCACCAGTCGCCCTACCGCATCCGACGGCGGGAGCCCGAAGAACTCATACCCCGCCCGGTACGGAAGGAGGACGTCCAACGCCCCGAGGACCGCGTAGCTTGCGGCGACAGACAGGCCAAGAGTCCGCCACGTCGATGCTTGGAGGGAGGTCATGGTGAATGATGCTTCAATTGCGTTTGGCTTTACTTTTGTGATGCTGTGATGCAGGAAAACTTGATTTGCTTACGGATAATCTGACGGACAAGCTCCTGCTGACTTTGCATCAGGCTGCCATCCAGCTCTATTTGAACCGCTACTGATGATGCAGTCGCCTGTGGCCAATGACACATGCAGCAAGATGCGCGACAAAACCGTTTGTCTTGGCTACCAATGGGGGTGCTTCGCTTTCCCACTGATCCCAACCGCTAGCCTGATTGTCAGCTTTCAACCTTCACAGCCAAGTGGGCGCATAACCGGCGAGCTTATTCTTGAGAGCGAGATAACATGAGGCTTCTTCATACTACGACGCTCGATCTCAATGAGTTCATTGGCGACGTCCCTCCATACGCCATCCTCTCTCACACCTGGGAAAATGACGAAGTGAGCCTCCAGGACTTGTCAACCACTGCTGGGCGGTCCAAAAAAGGGTTCAAGAAGATCGAAGCATGCTGTGCACAGGCACGTCGCGACGGTTATGACTGGGCTTGGCTAGACACGTGCTGCATCGACAAGACATCGAGCGCCGAGCTCTCCGAGGCCATCAACTCCATGTTTCGATGGTATCGGCAGGCCAGAATTTGCTACGTCTACCTGAGCGATTTACCATCTCAATATCCGGGGGATGTCGATCGCCGACAATTTCACAATGTCAAATGGTTTACCCGAGGATGGACTCTTCAAGAGCTTATAGCTCCCCGGGCCATTGAATTTTACGACCAGAACTGGGAAGAAGTCGGCACCAAGGTGTCTCTGCTCGACTTGCTACACGACAAGACGGGTATTCGGCGCGACATATTAGACGGAACAACCACCCATACCGTTATTCCCACCGGAGAACGTATGTCTTGGGCTTCAAATAGGAAAACCACCAGGCAGGAGGACCTTGCTTACTGTCTCCTGGGCATCTTCGGCATACATATGCCTCTGCTCTACGGAGAGGGCTCGCAGGCGTTCATCCGCCTTCAACAGGAAATTCTCCGCACATCAGAGGACCTAAGCATTCTGCTGTGGACAGGCCTTTCGCGACAGACGACCACATGCGGCGTTTTGGCGACGGCACCCAGTGCTTTCAAGGATATCAAGATGGTCGATCTCCAGGGCCACAGAGTTGGCTTCCTAGTGACTTGGAGGTGGAAATATGTGATCACGTTACAGCCCTGGTCGGCGGACACCAGTTGGGGCCCCGATATGCTCCTAAATACGCCCCCCACCATCACTAGCCGCGGTTTACATGTCCAACTGCCGACAACCCTGGTCAACGGAGGACGTAGGTGCTTATTGTGGCCAAAGTGCATGATTGTAGAAAGGCTCGATGGTGCCCGAGGATCGCTGAATGGATTTCTCTGCATTGAGCTGCAGAATCTCCACCCCAACACTAATTTGTCCGTGTCCAGGCTGAGCTCGCCCTACATCTACTACATCCCACGGGCCGAAATTCGCTTTGACGACCCGCTTCCGATGTACCTGAAGATATCGCACCAACAAGTCGAGGAGGATTTCAGGGGACTGGACATGTTCACCGTCTCACTGGAAGACAACGAGCCGCTACGGATCGGTATTTGCAGGTCAACGATCCCGCCCGGCACGTTCCCAGGACTGGAACCAGAGGATGACGGCATCGACTTTTTCAGAATCCCCGAGTCGCATGCGCACCAAGTCGTTCTTCAATGTTCGGTGACGCATTGTGAGTCCCCTCATCTTTACAGCAGCAAGGTCACCGTTGCCGTCAAGGAAGTTGCGGGGGAAGACCGCCTGGGCTGCTTCATCAACACAAACGACGACGCTCAAGCCTCGATTTGGGAGATGATTAGCTCGCATTCTACAGGACTCGACGACGCTATTTCTCAGAATGGCCCTCAGACCGACGATGAGGCTCGGAGATGGTCGTCGGTTTCCCACTTGGTCGGCGCGGGTCCGTGGTCGGACCGGTGCGCAAAGAAACTCCCAGGCGACCAGTATGTACTGATGGCTGCCATTAAGATGTCAAGAGGCATCCCGGTGCTTGTCCTTAGGATCAAAGCGCTTTCTGGCAGATGATAGCGGTTCTCAGATCACGGCAGTAGGCATTGAGCAGTCTCGTCGCAAGTAAACATCTATTTCTGCATGTGACGCTGGGCTAATGTCCAACCGTTGTATCTATCATTCGTAATAATCTGCACGCTGAAACAATCCATTCCTTATTCAAACAAGACCAATCGACTGCATTTCGGGCTACTTGGAACCGGGTGACTCGGGCTCAACATTAAGATCCCCGAGATCTTCCTCAAGACCCGTGTCCGTTTGAGGCTGGGCTATTGTAGAAACTGCCTGTAGTGGTTCGTGAGGCAGAGAGAGGGTTTGTTGTCCCTCAGACAATAGGTAGGAGTTGGTACGGGGAGGGGACCTACTTGGTCTACTCTGCGGCCAAGATGGGTAGCTATCTCTGGGGGGGTCTTCCGGTTGTGTGTCGTGCTCCAATGGAGTGTTTTGCGTGAGATCTTCGAATGCAGAGCTTGCATGGAAGCTAGGGTCGGCGAGGTCATCGTCGGCACTAGACTGAGGGGTGACTGAGTCATCATTGGGTATATGCTCAGATGAAGATCCATGAGTTCGCTCCGGCACTGAGGGGCTAGCTGAACTTCCGTCATTCGAGGGATGTGGCGAACGGTATATCTCCATGGGGTCACCGTCAAGTTTGTCTCTCCAGATAGTCTCTGGCCTGGGTTGAGGCAGAGCAGACGGTACTGTAGAATCATTACTCAAGGACGCATGTGCCTGAGATGTAGGCACTGCTAACGTAGCCTCAGGAATATTGCGTGGTGGGATATTACCCTGCGTTGGTTGAATGGAAGGGCCCCCTCGGAGAGCACCGCTGTTCCTAGGTGATGTTAGTCAAGCAATGGCCGCAAGCTTGGAAGTGACACATACTGTGCACTATCCTCGCGGCTTCGGAAACCGGTCTGATTTCTCGCGCGCGGAGAACGAGATCTCGAAACGGGATGAGGTGGTCGAGGCCTAGAACACATCTCTGAACCGTCCTGGCGTTGCTGTGTTTGGGTCGGCTGTTGTGTATCTCCTGTTCCCGAGCGGTTGGTGTCGTCGGCTGTGGCGCCAGGTTCAGACCTCCAGTCCATGGCATCCTGTGAAGTTTCCTGCGTGTTCGGCGCAGATAAGCCCTGTGCTGCATCGTTTCGGGCAGAGGGGATCGGTACGTTGTCATTTGTGGTGGCACGCGTCAATATGGGAGGACGATTCAAGGGTGGTAGCTCGTAGGAAGAGTCACGACTTGCTAGCTGGGGCGACTCCGGAGGCCCACTCCAGCTCGTCTGTCCGCGAGCTGACGTTGGAACAGGGGGAAAGGGCGCTGCATCACTGCTGCTGAAGCTCGACGGAGACGTCAGACGTTCTGGCCGGGGAGTGCCAGGAGGTCTGAGGCCTGCTGGATTGGGAGTTGATCTCTGAGGAGGAAGAAGCAGAGGAGATTGATTGCTCAAGCTGGGAGACCTTGTCGTGCCGTTCAACAGTGGAGACGGTCTCGTCATAGGTACAAGCCGAGGGGTTCGACCCTGAGCTATTGGTGGCGAGGACCGAAGGACTGGTACAGGCGAAGCAGGAAATCTGCTGTGCGGTAGTTCAGGAGTTGATCTTGGAGGAGGAGACGACGAGGCAGGCTGATCCCTGAGGACCGCAGCGTATGACAATCGAACTGGCCGTGGTGCTGCGAGAGGTCCACTCGCGCCCGTTTGCTGGGAAGTGGACTGTTGAGTATCGGATGGAGCTGGTCTAGGCGAGCCAGGAAGTCTATGGTGAGGTAGTTCGGGAGTTGGTCTTGGTGGAGAAGAAGACGAAGCAGGCCGAGTCCTAAGAATTGCAGCGTACGCCAATCGAGGTGTCCATGGTGCAGCTGGAGGTCCAGCTGCGCCCGTCTGCTGAGAAGTTGATGATTGAGCATCGGCTGGAGCTGGCGAATCCTCCAAGTCGGAGGACGAGTTGAATTGATGTGGCTGAGGAAAATCGGGTGGCCTATTCATGCCATCCTGTTCGGAGCTGGAGGCGCCAGGGGACATTTTGAGATGTTCTTGTGCTAATCAAATGAGACGATGCTGATGCGAGATGGAGAATGTCAGGGGGGATAATGTGGTGACGCAGCGTTAGTTAGACTTGTTGATGCTTCGTGGATGCTTCGTGGAAGACTTGCTGATGTTCGTTGAAGACTGGATAACGTACGGTAGAGATGATGAATGATATTGAAAATGGAAAAGCAGTAGAGGCGCACTCAGGATAGGTGCTGTCCTGCAAGGCATCAATGGTTCTTTCCCTGACTCCGACTTGTGTGGTCGGATCCGCCTTCTCATACCAAGTTCCGGAGATCAAATACAGGAGGAGCCATGCAGCTTTTGGGTCAAGAGTCACTTTCACTTAAAGGAAATCCAAGTTCATCGTAGTTGCCCTAATCATCTCATTTCTCAACAATCTACTTCCTAGCCAAAACATCTTTGATCCGAGCAGTTTCCTCTTCATGCCCGACGGCCATGATTGGCTGCCTCGACTCGTCGCGAATGAACCCGTACCGTATCCTCAACTTCTTCAGCTCATTGGTCAGTTCTGAGCCATCCAGCCAGGTTGTACTTGACGGCAGATCAATGTACTTCGAGTTCCGGATCGTCGTGGAGACATAGCCAAGAATCTCAGGACCGTGGGTCAAGTGGATGAACACGACGCTGAGGATGCCTCCAGCCAGGAGAACGACGGCAGACAGCAAGCAGAGTGATATCCACAGCTTCGAGATGACGTATGTCTCCAGCAGAGTTGACGACTCCCCTATGAAGGTGATGTTGGGCTGGAAAACGGCATCCGCTTCGGCGCTGGTGTTTGCAATCGTGCTGGAAACTTGGCTAAGGGTGAGATACGTGTTGAGCAGCTGTCCAAAGCGTGCGCCGACTTTCGAGGTGTCGAGTTCGTCCATGAGGACTGCCGTGCCAGACGAGATATTCTCGTAGGTCGGATCTTTGAGATAATACAAAGTCGGGTCGATGAAGCCGGTCATATCCCGACCTGTGGCGACCGGCATCTCGCCGGCGAAGAAGTCGAAAGATCGAGGGAAAGATAGTTGGGTGATTTGCTCCGGCGCATGGGTCTTTTGTGACAATCGCTGCTCGATGACTCGGCAAGATCGTTGGCCCGCGAGAAACGAGCAGCTGACGCGAGATTCAACGTACTTCTGGGTGATGTCGCAACTGATCTCTAGGTTGTCGCGGTTCTTCTTGGTGATTTGAGGTTGCGCCAGAGCCATTCGGAGTAGAAATTTCGTCGGGCCTGCGGTGATTCCGGTCTCATTCGAAAACATAGATAGGCTTCCGTTGTCTGCATATGCTGGCATCCAGTCCCATCCCTGTCCCTCCTTTCCGTGGGTTATCCAGTACAAGTCAACGAACCTGTCAATGGCAATTCCCCATTGCGTTGAGATGTACAGTTCTTGTCTAAAAGTCTGAGCCCACCCGCCCCACTAGGACTCTCCTAGCTACTAACACCTAACCCCCTAACTTTAATAAATTTATTAAATGACGTTATATAGTAAAATGGGTTATATTGATTAAAAGCCTGAAATCTAGTATTTAATATTGTATATATAAGCCCCTAACTTTCTGAATAGCTTTCTAGTAGCGTGGTAATAACTTATATAGGTATTAAATAAACCTCTATAGTATAGCCTACTATACTATATATAGGTATTACTTTAACTTTTTAATATCTACTATATTACTATTTAGGTAAGTAATATAAGGGAATATTTTATATACTTACTACTTTAGATATATCTAGATATACTTAATAGGGTTAAGATTAGGTAAATAGGTAGGCTAAGTGATAATATTAATACTTTAGGTATATAACTAATCTATTAAGGCTTTTACTATATAGATAGATATATTATTCTATTAAAAATGCTTTATATTATTATAGATTAGAACTAAACCTTCCTCTAAAGCTTATATATAACTTTATATTATAAACTTATTCTTCTTAGAAGTTAAGTCTCTTTATATAAAGATAAGTTATAACCTCTCTATTTTCTAAATAGCCCCCTAGTATATTATAGTGATTCTTAGTTTATTATAATAATTTAGATTAATAAAAGTTTTATCCTACTTCTTAGAGGGGTAGTACTAAACCTATATAGTTTTGTGGGAGGGGGTAGATTATAGTAAATACTTATTAGTATATATAGTCTAAAAGTTAGTTAAGAATATATAATATACTAAGTGCTATATTTTAACTAATTTATTATTTTTACTTTACTAAAAACATACTTTATATAGTTATTTAAGTTATACTTTAGGTGTAAGAAAGATCTATTTTATAGCTTTCTATTTATAGTAGTTATAAGTATAGAGAGCTTAGTGTATAGTGGTAGTTAATACCTTCTTATTAATTATATTAGTGAGGGCTTTAGTAGTTATCTTAGGGTTTTTTTAAGCTATATAGTATATATATTAAATCTCCTACTTTATTAGTAAGTAGGCTTTACTTATATAAGGTAGGTTTTTAAGGGTATATTATTTAGTGAGGTACGTAATAACTTAACGTACTACTCTATATGAGATATAGAAGTGTTACAGTTAGCTATCCAACAGTAGGGTCTACTAATAGAAGCTAGGGATTAACACGTTATAACAGTACACTAAGGTCGTAGTCTAAGTTATAGGTCGTAGGCTATAGTAGATTAGGTCTTTTAGAGACTAAGGTAATTAGTCTTAAACTTAATAAGTAATTTATAGTAAAGGTAAGCTAAGAGTATCTATAAGGATAAATACTAAGTTAATTACTAAAGAGCTATAGAAATCTAACCTTAAGCGAGGTTTAGGTTATATTATATATAAATCTTAAATAGTATCTTTTATCTACTTTTAGGTAATTACCTAGGTATATAGGTAATTATAATTAGTTAGTAATACTAACTAATCGCTAAGTATTTCTTCTTATACTCTACTAATTATTCTCTTATCTTATTATTATATAACTTATACTATAGTTCTTCTATTCTAAGTAAGTCCTTATTATTCCTTTTAATTCTATAGTATAAATATCTTATCCTAGCTACCTAACGCTTAAGTAGGTTAGTTAACTATTATCTATATATAATAGGTTATAATATTAAGTCCCCTCTCTAAAAGTCTTACTTTTAAGACCTAATATAAATAGGTTATTAGTCTTAGGTTAAGGATCTATTAATTATACTTCCTATTTTATCTATAATATTAATACTATATTAAGTTATATTTAGAAATTAAAATTAAGTACTACCTCTACTCTTTATCGTTATAACTATACTTTATATATTACTAAGTTTAGTCTAGTTATTAATATACCTTATTCTTATTATTATTCTTTAAGGAAGTATTATAAACTTCTTCTTAGTAGTAAAGTTTATAGTAAGTATATTTATTTAGGGTAGTTTTATAATATAGTAGTAGATACTATTTATACTTATAAATCTTTATTTTTACTATATTTCCTATCTAATACTAACTTATCTTAGTTAATTACTTATTAGATAAAGCTACTTATTTAGAGGATACTAAAGTAGCTAAAGAGGAGGTATTAAAAAAGAAGGTAGCTACTTTATATACTATATAAGCTAAGTTAGATAAGTCTATAGCGTAGTTAGATTACTTATATAAGTAGAAAAAGATAGTGTTTTAAAAAGGTTAAGAGGTTATAGAAGAGGAGCTAATAATATCTCTTATATTAGAGATTTAGTCTATAAGTAGTTTTAGTATTCTAGACTTAGATTTAATTCTTAACTAGAATCCTAATACTCTGAGTTTCTTATTAAGGGAGTCTTAGTTATATTCTAATATTCCTAGTTAAATAGATATATTTTCTTATTATACTAGTCTAAGGTATCCTCTTAGTTATATTTATACTAATAGGAGTTATATTCTTTATTTCTTAGCTTCTCTTTGTTTCTATTATATTTCTTCTTATATTTATCTTTCTCTTTTATTAGTATATTTTATATATTCCTTAAATTCTTTTAAGGTTATAGGTAGGCTTAATCTATCCCTAAGATTAATATAATTAAGCGTTCTAATATACTTATTAATCTTATCTTAATAGTTAAGTAGGTTATTATTAAGTTTCTATATATTATCTTTATATCTATAGTTTTTCTATTTAATAAGGTATTCCTATTTATTATCTCTATACTAGTGGTTTAGTAGCTTTTCTACTTTATACTCTAGTTTATTATTTTCTATAATAATAAGGTTATTTATTTATAATCCTTATAATACTAGCTTAAGAAGTGAAATATAGAATACTAAGTGGTATTTTATAGTTTTTAGGAGTTTAAGCTTATAGTTAACTAGTAAAATAACTTATAAAATTTTAAAAGATCTAAGTTTTTTATAGTTAAGTTTATTACTTAGTTATTTTATTTTAATATTTCGCTATATAAGGTAGGTACTATCTCCCTCTTTTAAGGTTAGTCCTTTAATCCTTTATTTATTACTAAATCTTAATATTTATTATTAGATAAATTTAAGTTCTTTATAAATATTATCTTAGATATCCTTAATTTATTATACTAAGGTAGTAGCTTTAACTACTATTAGGCCTACTTAGGGTTCTCTATAAGTAGTTAGTTTAAAGCTATAGTTAAGGTAGAAGGGGGATTCCTTAGTACTTTCTCTAATTATACTATTATAAGTAAATTAGGCGATTAGTAAAAGTATAACCTAGTTATCTTAATTATAGTTAATATAGGTATAGAGGTAGGTTTTAAGGATTTAATTAATTTATTCTATTTATCTATTAGTCTATAGGTAGAACATAGTAGATATTAATTATTTAATACTAAGTTATAATATAATTAACTTCTAGAACTTAGAAGTAAAGATCTTATCTTAGTCTAATATAATTTCCTTAAGTATTTTATAGTTAGTAATAATATACTTAAGGAAGGTATATATATATTCTTTAGTATTATTTACTTCTTTATATAAGATAAAGTAGGTATACTTTATAAGTTAATCTATAATAATAAGAACGCTATTAAAGTATACTCTTATAAGGGGTTCTTAAGACTTTAGTAATTTAATAATAAAGTTAAGGGATATAGATTACTAAGTAGTTTACAGTATAAGTAAAGGTTATAATATACTATAAGGTTAATATTAAGTAGGTTTACTTTTTAGGTATACCTTATAATCCTTAATCACTTTTACTATATATTCTCTTATAACCTTTTTTTTATATTATTATTATAATTATTTCTAGGTTTTTATAATTCTTTAGTAACTATATATAAGGCGTATATAAAATTCTATAATTACTTTATTATCTAGTTTATTAGTTAGGCTAATACTAAATTATTTAGCTATTATTAGGAGTTTAGCTGCTAATATTAGATCTCTATTATCCTATTATTTAAGAATTACCTAGGTTTTTTTAAGTACTAAGATATTATAGTTTAGTTATTAGCTAAAAGTGTTTGCTCTACTATTATCTAATCCCTTTTAATAGATTATTTAGAAGTTAAATTCTAAGAAGAATTCTAACTATTAGATTTATTATTTATTAAGTACTTTTAAGGTTATAAAGTATAAAAGATTTTTATAATTAGAGTATATAAATACTTTATAAATTATTCCTAAAAGTTTAGGTCTCTATTCTTTAAAAGCTTTAATAATTACTATAAGCTTTTTATTATATATCTAGTAGTTAAGTTTTAGTTTATAGAACTTATAAGAGAAGAAGGCGTATAGGTATAAGCATCCTTCTGAATCTTATTATAATAGTTATACTCTAATTATATAGTTAGATATATTAAGTTCTACTTTAAACTATTTTATTAGGTTTAAGATAATTAGGATAGGTTTATTAGTAATAAAGTTCTTAATTTTCTGAAATACTATCTATTATAGTTCTTCCTATATAAAAGGTATATCTTTATAGCTAAGGCTAGTGAGAGCTATATTAATCTTACTATAGTTTTTAATAAATTTATAGTAGAAGTTAATAAAACTTAGGAATCTTTAGACTTCCTTAAGGTTACTAAGTTCTAGTTATTCCTTAATAGCTTTAATTTTATTTCTTAATATATAAACCTTCTTAGAGGTAATAATAAATCTAAGGTATTCTACTTTTTATATATAAAATTTGCTTTTCTTAGGTTTAACTAAGAGTTTAGCTTTCTAAAAAGCTTATAAGATATAGTGAACGTCTTCTTTATACTTCTTAAGTATAGGTGAGAAGATGAGGATATTATCTAAGTAGATAACTATATAG